TTCCTTGAAGGCATGATTGTTGTCTTTATATCAACTTTTTGACTAGTTCCTGTGCTGCAAGCCCATCCGGGTTCACATCCGGGAGACCAATATGACAAATTACAGTTCTTGTTAGGGCCGACATGGTGGACATCTTTATCAACCTTATCGAAAAAATTACTGAAGTAGACTTTGATTTCTGCTGCTGTACACAATCGATGCCCCAAATCACCTATTTAATCAATGTAAAACATATGTATTTCATAAGGAACTAGCTGATAAAAAGTGTTTAAGATGATGAATATAGTAGCACAAGCCTCAAAGCTAGTAGTGCTAGCAGGCAGCAGCAAAAAGAGAGTTTTATTATGGGACCCCGTTCATATTTCGAGAAACTCAAACTTACCGTTATAACATTAATCTCATTGTTGAAAAATTTTAAGATGTATGGCCATGGATATCGTATAAATGTGTTCAATTTCAACATTTAACTTTCTGGAAACGTACGATACCTTTTGTCTTTCTGATGCAACTTGTTAAGAATTCCAAATGTCCATCAAAATTGAAAGCCCCATTCCAATCTGTTTTCCTAGAAGACAAATAAAATGGAAAAAAAAGTATTTAGAAATAAAAAAAATATTTAGAATTGTAAACCATACCCTGACCACACAATAAGTTCAAACATTGTTACAAATATGTACTAACACATTTTTAACGCAATATCCTAAGTTCTTCTCAATGTCCTTTTTGAAAACTGTAGAGAGGCTGGAGAGGTGGTTGTAAATCAACTTTGTGGTGCTAGGGAGCAAGGCTGAGTTTCCTGTTTGGCTGTAATCATCTTCATCCAATGAAACACCATTTTGAGCCAAACTTGGCAGAGCAAGAAGCATGAATAAAAAATGCGGCCTTGAGAAAATCATAATTCTCATTGATCCCTTCATCTTGAAAATCACACAAAACCCTTTGTTGTAACTTTACTTGTTATGGTAATGATCATCCAATAACAACAAACAAGGATGTGAACACACAACAGAATTATTGTGTTTTTCTCACGAGAATTCGAATCGGAAAAAGTCCAATGTCGAGCAATCATGGCATTCTCGCAAATGATAACAATGAACTCTCTCTTGAAAATTTCAAAGTTTGTGTAATGATGAACATCAATGGATGTGCAATGGGAAAAACTAGCTAATTCTAAAAGGCAACTGTATTACTGTATTTTTCCTTTCAATTTTTTTTTTTTATGCCTTCTTCCCCTTCTATGGATGGGTTTCTCTTTTTCTTTCTTCCTATTTTCCCTGAAAATGGAAGTTGATGGTTGTAGCAAAATGGAAGAAAGAGAGAAATTGGACTTGGTGGAAAAGAGAAAAGATGATAGGGGTTGACATAAATTGAATGATCTCATAAAATTTGGAACAGAGACCTTAAATTTTGGGGAATTTAAGGATGAAGGAAAGAAACGGCAGGGAGAAATGAGTGCCTATATCGAAGGGAAGCTTGTATGTGTGCTTGTTCTCATAGTTATTATTTTTAATTGTACATCCTTTTAATTGAGCACCACGCCAGCTGATCGCTATGGATATAGTGAAATGTAAGTAACAAAATCCTAGATAAACTAGGGTCATATTCTACAAGGTCATTCAATGCATAACATTCACATCCAACTACTCATGTTTGACACAACAATTAAAGTAGATTTGTTTAGGTGATTTTCAAGTAATAAAGCAAAGAAAAGTAAATCAAAGCATAAAAGTTTTATAGGTTAACTGTGGTCAAATCCGGGAATTCGGGCCGATTAGACCAAAAACCGGAATTCAATGTTACACACATTATATCCAAAAATAAACATCCTTCATAGAATTTGAACCAAGTACCTCATGTTCATTTTTTTAGTTTAACTTATACACCAATAGGCTACAAGCAATTTTGTTGTCTATATTAACCTTATATGTTATATATCTAATACTAAATTTTACACAAATCATTATAAACATTAATAAAATTCATTTAATAAAATTTTATTTTTAAGCATCTAATTGTTTAGTATTAGTTACCAATTCTTAGCTATAAATTATTTTGTATGAAATAATTATTCTAATTGCTTTTTCATGACTAATTTATTTGGAATTGAGGATTTTCATTTTCCTCATGTATTTTATTAAAACCGGCACAACCGGCATGAATACTGGTTGTACCACGGTCAGACCATTCCACTTACAAAACCGGCACACCGGCATAAACCGGTTTGACAACCTTTATGATAAAAGTAAATAAAGGCAATTGAATAGGAAGTTTACTCGATATTAACTGCATCTCAATTCTCGTTCATATCATCCATCAATGCAACATCTATTATGCTACTCCATCCCTTCTACTAAAGCATTCCTAACTAACCTCCTGCCATATGTGAGAGAAACAATAATTAGCTAATGCGCACTTTTTCTTCAAGCCCTCAACTAATCAATGAAGAACAAAGAAGTAAAAACAACACATCGTTAAAGGTGGGCCTCGTGAGCCATAACACATTGTCTATATCATTGATGATCTAAAAATAAAGCCTTGATTCTATAGATGTATGTATGGGTTATCAATCCTCACATACACACATAGGCAACTAGGATATCACAAGAAAGTAGTTTCCTAAAATTTTAGATGAAATTATAAGCAAAGGTTGATTTTGTGGAAAAAATCCCAAGTTACACATGTTTTTAAAAAAAAATTCTCAAAATACAAACGTTATGAAAATAATTCCCAATCTACGTTAGTTTGGGCCATCACCGCTGTCGACGAAGACAGTGATTGCATCACTGTTGTCGACGAAGACAGTGATTGCATCACCGCTGTCGACGAAGACAGTGATTGCATCACTGCAGTACACGGCCGCGGTGAAGGCCTAACCTGCGTCGAAACTTTAAACAAACGTAACTTTGTGCTCGGTTATCCGATCGTAGCGAAATTTTTTTTGATTCCGCATAATTTTTCGAGATCTTGCAAGCCGCAAATTGCCGTAGGCGGTCTGGTCCCGCCTTCGTCTCGAAAATATGTCGTTTGCTACTTCGAACGAGCCTTTTTTCGATTTCGTCAAACTTTGAATGACCATAACTTTGTGCTCCACAATCCGAAAATCATGAATTTTTTTTTTGATTTCGCATAAATTTTTAAGGACTACAATATTTAGTAGGAGAGAATTTTCAAAAAATGAATTATTTATGGATATAAGGGATTTTGGGAATAACTTTACCTTCCTTTCCAGATTGTGGAGCACAAAGTTATGGTCGTTCAAAGTTTGACGAAATCGAAAAAAGGCTCGTTCGGGGTAGCAAACGACATATTTTCGAGACGAAGGCGGGACCAAACCGCCTAAGGTAATTTGCGGCTTGCAAGATCTCGAAAAATTATGCGGAATCAAAAAAAAATTTCGCTACGATCGGATAACCGAGCACAAAGTTACGTTTGTTTAAAGTTTCGACGCAGGTCAGGCCTTCACCGCGGCCGTGTACTGCAGTGATGCAATCACTGTTTTCGTCGACAGCGGTGATGCAATCACTGTCTTCGTCGACAGCGATGATGCAATCACTGTCTTCGTCGACAGCGGTGATGGCCCAAACTAACGTAGATTGGGAATTATTTTCATAACGTTTATATTTTGAGAATTTTTTTTAAAAACATGTGTAACTTGGGATTTTTCCCTGATTTTGTTAGATCTGTAACTTTCAGGCTCTTTTCTTTACTTTGGCGGAGCAAAGGTTGATTTTGCTTTTGTTGGTGGAGGAAGAATCGACTTCAATCTTGTCCTTCAGAAACCAAACGAGAAGAATACCAAATCAGGCCCCACGGTGGGCACCAAAATGTTTGACCCGGATTAGTGCCGGGCAAGTTGTCAACCCGCGGGTTGACCCGGACCCGGTCGAGCTAGTGGGTTAAGAGTTAACAGGTCACCCTTTTTAGCCCGGAAATATGAAAATAGTCATTATATTGTACTTATCCTGATAAATTATATCAAATCTCATCTAACATATGAGTAATAACACATAACATTACACTAAAGTAACATGTTGTACTTAGATCCAACATATAGTGAAAATTCACACACTTATATAACATCAATATTCAAATGTTCAACTAAGCATTCCAAAGATTTAGTTAGGTGAAAAGAAAAATCGGAAAATAGTCGCATTTTGCAAGCCAGAGAAAAAAATGACACAATTTGACCTCCAACCCGATACCTTGTAGCGGTCGACCCGGCGGGTGTGTGCGGCCCGTTTTTCTCAGCGGGTCAAGGTCAAAGTGGGTCGACCCCGCGGGTTGACAACCTTGGTGCCGGGTGATTAGTGTAGAGCCTTGATCTGGAGTCCCTCGTCTGGTCTCCTCGGGAGTGGAAGAATCCTGTGGAGAGTCGGGGGCGGCCCCCGTGATCTACACTCCAATGCTCAAGTTAGGGGAGGATATATGAGAGAGTATAGGGAAATGTAGAGAGAGATAGAGTTTAGAGAGAGAACCATCAGAGGTAAAATGTGGGAAGGGAGAGAAATCCATTTATTTGGAGGGTCTGGCCTCCATATATAGGAGTCAGAGGCATCCATTGAACGCCTCCTGGTGGTGGGCGCCTCCCGTTGTAATGGACGCCCACGGTATACTGGACGCCTCCCGTCGACGGACGCCTTCAGGTAAAGGATGCCCCCGGGTGGACTAGACTCCTCCCGGTGTACTAGACCCTAGAATGGGCTTAGCCCCAAAATGAGACGCTTTGTGGTGGGCTTGGGCCCGTATTAAGCGGGTTAATACTAGACCCAACATTAACCTATTAATTTTCTTCGTATCTGGGCTAAACTGATTCGTCCATCAATCCAGAACCCACTTTACCAACGGGCTAACCGTTTAGACCGGGTTGACAACACTGATTTTAAAACGTGAAAGCTTGCGGTAACCCGCTAGACAAAACCGCAATAGCCGAACTTGGGCCGGGCAGTTCCATTAGCCCACAAAAAAGCTGGACGGACGTGAACGGGATTTCGAATTATGAAAGAAAATTCCCATCAGCTCTTCACTTCTTCAACCACTGCAATTTGTCCAGAGATTAATATAACAGAGACGGGAGAAAAGGGACGGGAATGAAATCGGCATTTCGAACCGCGTGCTTCATTACACGCTCCGCTAGCTTCTTAAACCCTAAACCCAATTGTCTTCCCATTTCCCGCCCTCTCAGTCCCGCAATCACTACGCCTGCGGCCCTTCCCCTTCCCCTGGTAATCGCTTCTTCTTCCTCCCTCACTCAGCCATTTCGCCCATTCTGCTTGTCTGCCTCCATGGCCGGCGCCGGTGCCGATGCGGGCAACTCGTTGTCCTCCCTTGAAAGCCAGTTCAAGGGTTTCCGCAGCCAGCTGGAAGAGTCGGGCTCCTTGCGCGACAGGATTCGGACGGTGGTGAGTGATATTGAGTCCACTACTCGGGTCATGCAAGCGAATCTCCTCCTTGTTCATCAGTCTCGCCCGGTCCAAGGTATTTGAAAGAAATCCACTAAGTTATCTGCGATTTTTGTTATGTTTGAGGTAATTTGCTGAACCCTAATTTTGCATTCATGAGATATTGTTTTTGTTGGCTACTTGCTTTGGGTGTAGATATTTTGGAAGAAGCGAAGGCTCAAATTGTCAAGCTGGGGGATCTCTACAAGCAACTTGCTGAAATTGTTCGGGAAGTCCCTGGACAATATTACAGGCGAGACCTCTGCCTCGTACAACTACGTGAACTGGTTTCTCTTTCTATGCTCGTGAATGTGGATTTAATTGGGCGGGCTTTTTGGCTGGATTGATTGATTTTAGGTATCATGGTGATTGGAGGAGTGAAACCCAGAGTGTTGTTTCGCTGCTTGCTTTTATGCATTGGTTAGAGACAGGAAATCTCCTAATGCACTCCGAAGCCGAGGAAAAACTAGAGCGTATGCCTCATTTCCCTCTTGACTAAACACTCAGAACAATTGGTTTTTATTTTTTCCTAAGGTGTTTAGTTTCTTGGATGAGCCTGCTTTATCTGTAGTAATAGAGGTAATTTCTGTTCTGTGCAGTGAATGGTTCAGAGTTTGGTTTGGACGTTGAGGACTATCTTGTAGGTGAGTGATGCTGTTATTCCACATTTGCTGGACAATGATGTTGTTGGTGCTATCAGAGCTTCAGCATTTCTTACAAAGATTAGTTATCTAAAGCCTATCAATTCGATGGGAATTTCCCGAGTTTGTGATTTTTAAACACCTACGTGTTGTTGATATGCAGGTATTTGCTTCATGTCCAATGAGATGGTAAGACCTCTTCCACCGTTGAAATCACGCGTTTGTTTGCAGCTTGGTCTTTGTTCCTGTGTAAACTGATCAAAGGTAAAGTTTTGGTTTTGCAGCCTAGGTATGTAGTGAACCAAGTGACGGCTGGGAACTATGATTGTCCAAGAAAAGTGATGAAGTTCCTCACAGACCTCCATGCAGCTTTCCGAATGCTCAATCTCCGCAACGACTTCCTTCGCAAGAAGTTTGATGGTATGTAACAAGAGAATGTTGCTTGTTTTCATCGAACCCAGACAGTGCAGGGCATGTTCATCCATTAACGCTATTATCGACGCCTTTCTCACTCACTCTTACCTCTCCAGGAATGAAGTACGACTTGAGGAGAGTTGAGGAAGTTTACTATGATGTCAAGATTCGCGGTTTGTCTCCCAATGGCGAGCCAATATCCACCGGAGAACAGGGCGTGCAGGGCTCGATTTAGAATAGATTGCAAGGCTTGGGTCTCCATGTATTGGATGTGTACGTTGCGACTTTTGAGTGTAACTTTTCTGAACACTACTTTTGGATATGAGAAACAATGAGCCTACAGTCGTGGCGGTCTTTCGCGATGTTTGTCTTTGACAGTAGTCTGTTGCAGCAATGACAACCATATCACATTTTTCTTTCTCTTCGTCTCATCTTGCTTCACTGGTTCTGTAGTATGGCACCATGCTCTGGGGCTTCAGTGTGCGGATTAGGAAAAATGAAATCATCTCTACCCTAAATCAGTGTGCCGCCGCGCCGTGGATTGTAACCAACGAGGAGAAAAAGGCATACCGTAACGCCGGTAGCCAAGTTAACGGATCAGGCAAATAGCAACGAGGAAGAGCTTAACGCCGTGATCGCATGAGTAAAAGGCGTAGTAGGGTGGCGTCAGGATTCTGTTAATGGCAGCCACCTGTCTCGTAGCCGCAGAGGCCGGACCCGAAATCACAAATTATTTCAACATAGTACGCACACAACGTTATTGCTGGTCAGAACGAAAACTTTTTCGATTCCGTCCAATAAGGTTCCAGATATATCGTTCTTATTATTTTCTCCATCTGGCGTCGCGTATTGGGGTTTTGGCGGTTACACGAAGAGACTCTTTTCCTTCTGTTTCAGCCATAAAAGTCGGGACAACATTCGCTGCGGAATCTCTCTCTGGTCTCTGCCTTGCTGAGCGAGCTCTCACTCCGCTTCTTCTACCACAGCTAAGGTGAGGAGGGTGGCACCTTTTCTTTTGTCTTTCTTTCCTTTGCTATGTGATGTCCGTTCGTCTGTGTTCTTTGTTTTGGGGTACATTTCGAATTTGTTTTGTGCGACTGTCCCGGCGTGATTTCGACGGAATCTCGTCGTAGTTGTGTTGACGGTGGGATGAGTGGATGGAGTTGCTCTCTGGTTTTGGGGTTTCCGCACTGCTCTGTTGCGGGGCTGGGCTACTGTTCTGTTTGGTTTCCGGGGAAAACGAAAAAGAAAAGGGGAAAAGTGTGGGGGGAGGCTTCTTGTCTTTTTGTTCCCATTTCTCTTTCACTGGCTTTCCCGTTTTCTGCCGTCTGGCCTCTGATTTCATTCCGCATCTCTCTTGACGTTGTTGGTTGTTGCATACTTCTCCCTTGAACTTGAGACACTTCCCTCTTACAAATTTTGCGGGAATGAGTTGTTTATATGTCTAGTGGTGGGTTGTTCAAGTTGCGATAATTCTGCATACTTATGTGAACGGTTGTTTACCTCTCCCGGAATGCCTACAGAAGCTCAGTTTCATCCTTTCTCTTAAGTAATTCAGTAGAAAGAGCTGAAAATGATGTGTGTCTGTCCTGTTTCTCAATTCGTGGAAGCATTGGCCCGCAAGTTTCGGTTGCTATAACATTTTGTCATATTGGTTTGACATATTGGCATTCACAATGTCATTCTGCTTGCCAGAACAATGGTGAGAAATGGCTGTGCTTCCCCTGATTTGAGGAAAAATTACATTTTTCTGCTAATCTCTTGAGTGTCTTTCGGTTGTTACCTTCTGGTAGGCTTCGATGATTTCTTGTTCAAAACCGTGAACTCCAGCTCAGGATCATCGGATAAAATGGATATCAAGTCACGGTTTGATGCATTTGGATATACGAAATCTCCGCAGGTGAGAAATTTGTGGCTGTTTTATGCATTTAAGTTTATGTCTTCGGATTTTGACTTTATTTTTGGCAACGTAGTCTTGTGATTTTGAAGACGTTTCCTGTATCCTGTTTTGTTTAGGGAAAAGATGATGATTTCTTGGCTCCTGCATCACGAGGAGAAGCGGGTGATTTCTGGCCCATGCTTGCTGAACCTAAAGCAGAGAATCGGTCTGTGGATGGCTTCGTATGGTATGATAACAAGAGTTCTTGGAGTTGGACCGAATCCGAAATTGATGAATTCCTGCAGGCCTTAGAGTATAACCCAAAAGGTATGTTCTTGAGTGATTCACTTTCTCTAGTACATTGTAATGTTTGACAGATTAGGCAGACTCATACAAATTACAATAGAGAGCTCTACCTTGTTTGCTGCATCTCTGTGGTCAATTTGTTGACCTCTTCGATTCTGCTGTGCTTGTTAAGGTGGGCTGGGTTACAGCGGAGCCGAAGCACAAGATATTGTAGAGCTTGAAGTAAGGATTTTCAACCTAATTGTTCTCTCTCCCGATTGCTTTGCTGGACTGATCTTTTCCTATTTGCAACAAAATATTTCAACCATCTTCTCGCATGTAAATTTAATTGCTAATGCTGTTTTGCCCTTTCCCTTTCCCTTCACTTGTCTTGTTAGTGAGCTAGTTAATTGACTTTCATGGTGTCATTTAGGCTCTAGATGAACTGCTCGGTGGCATTTATGAAGTGGATAGTTTTTTCGAAGCGAACAAGTCCTCCACTAAATGTGAAGAAAGTCAATCTCCTGGGCTTAGCTCTCGTAGCAATGGTGATGCTGCAAGAGCAGCTGTTCTTGGGTCGGCAGAGTCAGCAAGAGCAGCTGTTCTTGAAGCTCAATGCAACAATGATCCTAAGAATCTCAATCAGATGGACTCAAAGCCCTCAGTAAGTGGATATGAGAACATGAAATGTGTTCAGGCAACCAAAAGCTGCTCTTGCTTTCCTAGTTGGAAGGGTTTGGGTAAACGGTCTAAGAGATTTGTTAAACAAGTTTCTGGTACAAAGTCATGTTGTCTTGAAACACGAAGCGGGTCCTTGCCACGTAGGGTACTTCGAAAGAGACTAGCTGTTCCTTTGGTAAGAAGTTACTTAATTTGCCACTGTTTGTGTCTGCAAGTTGTGTGATTGGTTTTTCCCAGTCTTGGGTTCTGTAACTTATAGCTTCTTTGGACCACCTTCCGCAGAATATTGATTCATCAGATGACCTCAATACCCCATCCGAGTCTGAAGATGACTTCAAGGAGAAACAAAGATCTAAGAGGTGCAGCGTTAGAAGGAAGAATCACACAATGTGGACTACAGAGGAGGTGCGTAAACTGGTTGATGGAGTTGCACAGTTGGGAACTGGGAGATGGACCGACATAAAGAAGTTGCATTTCCCATCATCTTCTCATCGCACGCCTATGGATCTCAGGGTAATTAAAAAAATGAATGATCAATATTTTGTTGACATTTTAACAGTCAAGATCATTCCGCTCTAGTTGCTGTTGGTGCTACTTTTGCAGGACAAATGGCGAAATCTTCTACGAACCGCCTGTGCCGAGCATGATCTCAAACATAAGAGACGAAACAAAAGGGTGATTATTTTCTTCTATTTCCCTTTGGAAACTGCAGTTAATTTACACATTATTTCATTGTAAGGAGTGTTGATTGTTGATGAATCACAGGTTGGCGAAGAGAAGAAGGCGGGCATAGGTGGGGTGACGGAACCTCTGCTGCTACGAGTCTCGGAACTGGCCAGCATTCATCCCTACCCGAGGATTGTACGAGGTGGGATGTATATGAGGAACAAGGACTGATCTTTAACCAACCAAATGTTAGTTCATCAAAGTAAGCTGTGAAGCAAAAACAAAAGAATCTAGTATACCAAACGGGCTATTACTGATTTCTGGCTAGGTAGGTAGTTTTTGTTTAGGGCATGGTCGGTGTATAGAACAAGAACAGTATTGTTCTTCGGAAACTTACAGAGTACCGGCCGGGTTGGACAGAGGCTAAACGTGTAGGGTTAACTGTGGGGATTGTGTTAGATTTTGAACTGTAAAAAGTAGCTTGGTTTTTTGCGGATCAAACAGTGTGTTGTTGCTAGCTTATACATATGGAATTAGATCAATATCGACTAACTTTGGCTCATGGTTCTTGATATCATATCAAAGATCCTATGAGAAGGTTAGCAGAAGCCAGAATGAGTACGAGAGAAGTAAGCGGAATGAAATTTAATCGGCGGAATGAAATTTAATTTTGCGATTTTAAAATCAGACGACGGAAATGTGTACAAAAGATTTCCAACCTCTTCAAAAATTGTAGCCCCTCTTCCTCTAGCGTCCGTAAGCATCGAAAATTTATGTTATGTTATAGATGCTTGTGAGTTGTGACCTCCTCTCCATGTTTTGTGGTAATGATTCCTCTACAATTTTCTTTTTTTGAATATTCCTCTCCAATGTCTTGTTGTAATGATTTCTCATCGATGATCGATATCGTGAAATCATTTTTGAGATTCCAAGCCTTTGACAAAGCAATTTTCATCGACCTCAATATTAGGGTTTCGTAGTATCGGTACCTCTATATTCCTCAATCACCAGTGGTTCCTCATCATAGTTAGCAATCCGAACACGATCTAACTGGAGTTGAAACTCTGTGGCAACAGGCTCCTTGTTTTCCTCTGTCATCTTTGCTTGTTCTGCACGTAAAAGGCAGAGTCCACAGAAGAATCAAGGTGTAGTCAGGCTAAAACACACTCCCTAAAACTGGATGCAGGAGGCAATCCAGTAGTTGTCTCGTCGAGACCAAAGGGATGATAGATCGCTTATGGAAACTCTCACTGGGGATGATTCACTGAAAAAACCTAACTCTCGTTGATGAGAAAACCCTTAAACGCCGCCTTTTCTCTCCGAAGAAAAGTTCACATTTTACATTTATTGTAAACAATATTGGATATTTATTTTTGTTGGGTTTTAATCACCTCCATAAGGTTTATATTAACAAGAGATTCTCATTCTCTCCGTCAGTGGCATAGTCAGAAATCTCGACGAGGCTGACTTGAAATGTATTAATTGGAGGAGTGAGCTACAGGCTTGTCGACTATTATAATTTCTAAATTTGTACAAAATTTGCATATAATTTTTCCAAATTGAAAGGGACTACAACCCCTCCGAGTTTCAACCTAACTTCATCATTGCTCTCAATTATTTATTTTACTTGGTTGAAGCAACATTATATTAGGTCAAATAATGATAATTTTAATAATGAGTTAGATTATCAGGATTGTTAACCTATTCAACAATCAAGATCAAGTCGCAAAGAATTACCACATTATTGATAAATATGATGGGAAATGAAAAAATGATTTTTTTTAGAGATATACGAATTGAGCTAATTTATTAAGAAATAAGTTTAAATTGTTCCATCACCCATGCTGGTCCAACTTATTCCTATCATATCATTGAGTATATTGATTAAACTGGAATCGGAAATCAAGTTAGCAAGATTCCTTTTTATGCTTGAGGAGGTCAATTAAGTCATTTAGTATGTTATATTATCTTTATCTAAATACTTAATAAGGGCTATAACTAAAATTTCCACTATCATATTCTAAGGACTAGAACTTATACCAAGTATATATGGAATAGATTTTAGTTAGAGACACATTTGTCCATTAATTTGAAAAGTTGTCCATAGCTATAATATCCGAAAGTTCGAGCCAAAACTGTCATTTACGCCAAACTTCATGTCTAAGTACGATATTAACCCTAAAAACTTTAGTATGTCCAACACAAATCTAACTTAATTTATTAAAACTATTCTAGATATTCCGGCCAACTGACTCGATTCAAACTAGTAATGTAATATACCGTTACACCATTATTTTACTGACCACGTCTGCACTGCAGCTTTACATTCGCTATATACAATCTAAACGTCGCCATTTTGATTATCTGACTTTGTTTCACAAATAATCTCAATCTTCAATTTTGTAGTAATGAACACCAAATAAATGTATGAATTTACATAAAAGAAAATCTTTTATAATTTGCTCATACTTCACATATTCACAAACTCATTTATTGACTGTTGTAAGCGTAAACTTATTATTAAAAATGGACAAAGTAGTTTTTTTATCGAAGAATTGACATGTATGAAACGGTTTAAACTACAAGACAATCATTTTGAACAATGGAGATGCAGAAAACAGAGTCATGGATCTGGGTGAGAAGAAGAAGAAGAAGAAGAAAGCAAAACCAAAATAATATCAGGAAATGGAGGGGAGAGAAATTGCTTCCCAAGCGGAGGCATGGGACTTGTTATGGGGTTGGAGTGGGTTGGCATTTTTCGTTGCAAAAACCAGTTGAGATTTCCTTTCATTTCCAATCAAATTTATGACACGCGTCGATGGGTCTCTTTCTCTCTCACACTCTCCCTCTTCCAAGAGCTTATGGCCAGCTAATCCGAACTCAGAACTGCACGTGCAGATGGCTCAGAGATAACAGGTACAGCCAATCATAAATCCAAAACCAAAGAAATATATATGAGAAACGAAGATGAGCAATCCAATCAAGTGAGTTGTGGTTTTGGCACACAATTGGGTTGTCCTCTGAGCCGGAGGGAGGGACACAAAGATATTCTTCGTTTACATAGCAGAGCCTGTTACAAGACTCGACACATTTTACGCTAGGTTGGAGATAAGCCGAAGGATTCCCAACAGAGTTGTAGCTTGTATACTACTACCTGTAATTGAAATTACAGTTCACCACAGTTGTTTTTACCTCTCTGAGAAGGGTACAGTCCCGGTCGATGAACAAATGACGAAAGTCTAGTGTAGTGTGTGAAAAAGCCTGCAAAGGTAGGTAGTTGGTAGTTATTATGATGAATAGTACAAGCTACAAGGAACGATCGAGCTGACCAGAGCTGACTTGAGCTCCTAGTTTTTTCTTGTCTTGAGGGGATGTACCAAATGTGCTGGATTCTTACCGACTCAATCATGTCTGACTCCTCCTCCGCCGAAAAGAAGAAGAAGAAGAAGAAGAAACAGATAATAATGATGTAAGGCAGAAACAGTGCCATTATGGGTGCAGCGAAGCAAACTTTCACTAATAGCAAGCAGCGGCAGTTTCCACTGCTGCATTTTCTGCTGATACATAGATAGATAGAATCCTGTATTTCCAGGAATTGGAATTTTAAGAATGCAATTCAAATCAAGGATGTGTGGAATTCCATACGTTTCCCCTTTGTCGTTTTCAGGCTCTGCAACCAATAGATTTTGTTCAATCTGTAATATTTTGACTGCTGCAGTAGCACAGGCCATGGAGCAACACCCATCTCCTGCGCCTGCCGAGGGAGAGGCAGAGATCCAATCCCCTAATTTCTTTCTTTTCTTTTCTTTTCTGTGTCTTGTTTCTCTCCTGACTTTCTGCTCATTCAACTCCGTACATATCATGCACCCATTTCTCCTTAGACCGTTATGGATATAGATCTCTGCCAAAGATACTAGCTTGGAGGAGGAGAGTTACTACTGCATATCGAAACCTCGCTTTCAGCAACCCTACCTACATCGCAGAATGCAAAACAGGGTTGCCAGTTTTCAACTAAACTAATCTCTGCCCATTACACAACACCCCTGGCTAAGCTTATTTCTGCAACAAAGTTCCCAACTTTGTCACTCGCTCCCAATTTCATTGCAAGTGACATGGAAGGGGAGAAAAGAAAACGCATGTTTTACTGTTATCCATTACCACTAGAAACAACTGAAAGTGGGGATCAAACGCACTTTGCCCAAGAAGAAGCTTATCTATCTCTCTTCCCATCCCACCTCGTGCCTTTACTTTGTAATGATAAATCATTATTGGGGTTATTCATATCTTATCTTGTGTATATTTCCTCTCCCCCACCCCACTCTCTCTCGCTCAACTTGTGGGGTCTTCTTTCCCCTTCCAAAGATCACTCATCCATTTCCTTCACTAAAGTCTCCCCACTGAGCTACTTGTTTCCCTGGATTGCTGATGTACTTTACTAGTAATTCATGCAAGTTCGTACAATTTCGTATCAGAGAGATCCATTGCATATTTTGGCATTTTAAGAAAACAGCTAAAACCCTTGAAAAAGCCAAACGAAAAAGAAGGTATATAGGTACATACAACCAGGCACAATATATCAATTTAGCACTTCCATCTCCCCCTCTAAGCTACCCGTCATATCACCCATTTATTGCTTTTGCCAAAGCTAGCACATACTCTTTATCTCTCAAATATATATATATATATAGACCTTTCTCTCTCCGTTTCATGCAACCATCCATCCAGCAGTTCCTTCTGCTCTTTCCCTAACTTCCAGCTCCTCTCTCTTCCGCTACTTACCCCTCATACACACTCCATTCATTCAAATTACAATGAAAGGCAAGTTTGTGGAGACATGCGTGAACAAGTGGAGAAAGATGGGGAGCAAAGTCATACCTTGTGGAGGCTGCGACTACTGCTGCAAACACTACTGGGGATTGTGGCCTGATGTCGGTGAATCCAAGTCGATTCCTGGAGACGTGCCAAAGGGTCATTTAGTTGTATATGTAGGGGAAGACTACAAGAGGTTTGTGATCAAGATTACCTTGCTGAAGCACCCCTTGTTCAAGGCACTGCTGGAGCAGGCTAAGGACGAGTATGACTTCACTGCTGCTGACTCCAAGCTCTGCATTCCTTGCGATGAAAAGATGTTCCTCGATGTTCTTCGATGTGCCAGCTCGCCCCAGCAGGGCAGAAGTTTTCTCTGTCTTTGATCTTTTGTTGGAGGAAGGACATAGGTATTCTCCATGGGATTCTTAAAAGAATTAAGCTAATATAATTGCGCTGTTAATGTATAACTCCCCATCCAATCAATCCATAACTGTTTCGTGCCTGCACTGAATATGTAGAAATTTTTAACATAGAGAGAGGAAGTCTTCTTCTGGGTAGTAATTTGGGTTGGAAGGAAAGGATGCTATGTAATCAGAAAATTGGATGGAAATTGTGCAATCGAAATCTTAATGCCTTCAACGTACATCTTGTACATCTTGGGCTTCTTCTATAGTTACCTGAAGCTGCCAAAATTTGCAGTGCATTCATAATGATTTATCTATTTTCTATCGTTATTTTGGAACAATGAGCAAACTATGTTCTAGAGGTCCTGTTAAATGACTGATCAAATAGTTAAAATGCAACATCAGGCTTCTGCTGATAGATAATTAAGGGATTCTCGAATCGACAAACCTCTTGGAATATAGTAAGCTGCTTTCACATTCCATTTCCTTTTTGT